CCCACACACACACACAAGTTCTGGGGTAAACCCGAACATATCAATAAGGCATTCATTATCTCCTTTAGCGTTCTATTCTCTCTTTCCACAATTTCATTAGATTACGATGAGTAAGGGGCAGTTGTTTGGTAAATAATGTCATATTCCAAACATATTTCTTCAAAAAGATATTCATATTCACCACCCCTATCACTTCTTATCATTTTGATCTTTTTGTTTAATCGCATTTCAACTTTATTTTTATATTGCTTGGATGCCTCAATTGCTTCATCTTTACTATTAAGTAAGTAAATATAGCAATATCTAGTACGGTTGTCAATAAAAGTTATGAAATACCTTTTTCTACCGCGAGATGGTATTGACTTCATGTCGCAAATATCTGTGTGAATTAAGTCTAAAGGATTTGAATTCCTTTCAACTGACTTACAAGGATGTTTAACATACTTTGATTCCACACATATTTGACATTTCGAGTTATTGCATTCAAACTTAGGCAATACTTCCAAATTAATCATTTTTTGCAAAGTTTTGAAGTTGACGTGGCCTAAACGTTCATGCCATAAATTATTTGACTCAAGCAAGTAAGAAGAAGTTGAAATTTTATTCATATCAATAGCAATTACGTTGAGTTTGAAAAGGCCCTCTGTAAGGTAGCCTTTTCCTACATACATTTCATTCTTATTAACTACAACCTTGTCGGAAACAAAAATACACTTAAAGCCATTCTTGACTAGAAGTGATGTCGAGACTGAATTCTTCCGCATTTCCGGAACATAAAGGACATCATTTAGAGTCACAATCTTGCCAGAAGTCATCTTCAAAGCTATCTTTCCTGTTCCTTCAATTTTTGCAGTAGCGGAATTTGCCATAAAAACTGTCTCGTTGGGTCCAGCGGGAGCATAAGAAGTAAACAACTCCTTGTTAGCACAAATATGACGAGTTGCCCCCGAATCAATCCACAATTCTCTAGGATTTCCGACTAGGTTGTACTCTGAAAGCATGGCACATAAATCATCTATTTCATCATTCTTCTCAATCATGTTTGCTTGGCTTTTCTTCTTGTCCTTCTTTGGTGCACGACATTCAGCAGCCTTTGTGTCCAACCTTTTCACAGTTGTGGCAATTACCTTTGAACTTCTTTTTGCTTGGGTAATTCTTTGGTCCAGACGACTTCTTTCTCTTGTTGCTCGTTGAAGCTTCCTCAACAATATTTGCACCCATAATTATTGAATTTCTACGAGACTTCTTCTCAGCAGCCTTGTTATCCTCTTCAATCCGTAGACGAACAATAAGGTCTTCAAGCGTTATCTCCTCACGTTTATGTATCAAGTAATTCTTAAAGTCTTTCCACAGCGGATGCAGCTTTTCAATAAATGTCGTAACTTGAAACGCTTCATTTATGACCATACCTTCAGCAAGGAGGTCATGAATAATAACTTACAATTCTTGGACTTGCGTCAGAAATTCTTGGATTTACCATCAACTATTTTGAAATTCAGAAATTTGGCGGCCACAAACTTCTTTAGTCCAGCATCTTCAGACTTGTACTTTTTTTCAAGAGCATTCCACAATTCTCTTGATGTTTTCATGACGCTATAAACATTGTACAAGCCGTCTTCCAAGCAACTTACAATATAGTTTTTGCATAAGAAGTCAGAATGCTTCCATGCCTCAGTGACCACAAATCGCTCATTTTTAGGAGTTTCTTCTCCTAGGACTGGAACGTCTTCGTTGATAAAGCACTGTAAACTGAGTGTGGTCAGGTAGAAGAATTTTTCTGCTGCCAACGCTTAAAGTCCACACCGAAAAACTTCCCGAATTTTTCTGTTGGTGTCATCGCTGGTGCAGGAGTTGTGCGACTTGAAGATGCAGTTGCCATTGCAACAGTAGTCCCAACAGAACCATTCTGTTGTTCCGTACTTGTTATCATTTTTATGTAATAGAAATTGACAAACATAATTAGTATCTCGGTGAAGTTTTTATATCTTCAAACCGAATACAAACAATCAAGTTTTTATATTTCGGATTGAGTAGAAAGTCACAAAGACTTTAATCTCAAACTGGAGTAGAAAATCTGAAGATTTTAATCTCCAAAACGGGAGTAAAAAATTAAAAAGATTTTAGTCTCCCAAAGCAAAAAGTAAGATGAATACAGAAATAAATATTAAATTCCTTAAGCTTGTTATTACTCTGTATTCAAAATCAGTAAATCAATAAACGTTAGTTTAAAAAAAAAATAAAGCAGGAAAAATTTCGAGCCCACAAGTTTCTTGTGTTTCCTTAAGGAATTTAATCCCCTCACAATGCCCAAGGTTGCGGATTAATTCTTCCCAGGATAGAACGGAATAACTATTCTGTGATAGCGGCACTTCAAATCATAGAATTTCGGCGAACTCAAATGGCGGAGCAAATCACACAAAATGCTTACGTTTTGCTTTTTGAAAAACCAATGCAGTATGCAGAAAATTGAGGGGAGAGATTTCAAATTTTACAGTGAAGGAAAATTAGGCTAAGCCTCTCTATTTATAGACAATGAAAGGGTGAGATGAAGAAGTGCAATTCAAGAGGCGCCTCTTCCATTTCTCATTCACACCCCAATGAAAGAGTGAGATGAAGAGGTGCAATCCAAGATGTGCCTCTTCCATTTTTCATTCACACCCAAAAGGTGTCTCTTCCATTTTCCATTTACACCCCTTAATAAAAACGCAACATATATGTCATTTATAATAATATTTTATTATATTAGTCAAAAATATGGGAACAAACAAGAATGTTATAGAAAATTCTGTTAGATCAAATAATATAATTCAACGTTGCGTTAGTAACACCTATACTTTCACTCAAGTTCATTTAATTAGATAATAAAACAAATACTACTACATTATGTATACTCCTAAAGTAGAATATTCTGCGGGATGATTCTATAAATTTGTTTAGCAATATTTTTGTGACAGTTTCTTATTTAGATTCAAATATTAGAGATAAACTGAAGTTTGTCACTTTGTCGCCAGATCTATTGCTGCCTCCCTTTACACTGCATGTCTCAATCATCACACAAAGAAAAATTAATACCAGTAATTAATAAGTAATCAATCAATCAATCATAAAAATTAATTAGTTCAACCTGTATTAGTTAGTATAATAATTACTAAATAATTCACCATCTATTCCTCGAAGTCGTTTGACATGATAAGGATGACGATTGCTGGTTTGAAGAAAGAGGCATGCATCAAGTTATCAACTTATCCATCAAAACTGTATTACTAATATTCTAATTTATATTTATTCCTTTCATTAATTAATACCAATCAAATCAATGTTATGAATCACTAACTATATGACTTAAATAAGAAAACAAGTCCATAAGAGTTACAGCCAAGATTTCAAACTTTATGAATTTTGGATTTTAGAATAACGACTTCGAATGTTGATAATTTGGTTTTAAATATACTATATATATACATTTAATAAATTTTTTAGTATAAATATATTATTTGAACAAAAACTATTTGTTTTGACTGAACTTGTATTTGGGCTTCTACCTATGTGCCTGAGGTCGATAATTGACACTTTTTCTCTTTATTTATGTCGCATTTGTGTGTGTCTATCAAATATCACTCCCTTTTGCTTCAAGTCATTTGACTAATTAATATACTTTCATTCCGTGTCCTATTATAATAATCATTATTTGAATAGTTGATTTAAGAGTTGTGGATGTGGTTTGGAATAGAACACATCCTCTTAAAACTCAAAAGTGGAGAATATTCTTTTATTAATTCAATATTTTATGTATTGGAAGGTAGAAGAAGGAAGAACCTAACCACAAATGGGGAAGCATACATTTGGATTTATTAAATTGGATCTTGTATTAATTAATCAACATATTAATTATTTTGAAATTTGTATGGTTTTTTTTACTTTTTCTTTCTTCATGCATCTGGAGTCCAGGAAGTGACGACGCATGACATAATTAATAGTGCTATTTATTTACAAATTGTATTGGTCAGATTCAGACCTGGGAAATTTATTTAAAGAACAATTCAAAGACAGAAGTAGGCAAAGTATATAAATTTTAAAATACAAAGATCGCCGAATTATATGACTGAGTAAACCAAGATCCACGTGTAAGTCCATTCCTTATTAGGAACTGCATTTGATAAAATTAAAATTGCATCTACCAACATTAAGGAAGCAGCATATGAACACCCTCCCCCTCCCCCACAAAGATTTTTTTTTTTTTTTACATAGATAAAGTAGGAGCAGTTAGGGAGCATTATAAAATAAAAAGATTTACAAAGTTCAAACGCAATATTAGGATTAGTGTGGAAGCAAACTTTCAAAGTAGTAAGAGTTCGTTTGGTAGAGTGTATTAGAGAAAATAATGCATGCATTAGTTTTATGTATTAGTAATACCTTGTTTGGTACACTTTTTCTAACGTATGTATAACTAATACAAGCATTAGTTATACATCCTATTTGGTATTATCATATGTATTGTCACACCTCTTTTTTTCGGGGGATAAGGGAGTTTTTCCAATTTAAGTGACATTATTCGAAATGAGATTATTTATTTAATTTTTCAGAGTCGCCACTTGGAATAATTTATGTTGTCCCAAGTCACCGGTTTATTTTAAATCTCAAATCGATGAAATTTGACTCTATTTATGGTCTGTGAACACAGAAGACCGGGTAAGAAATTCTGTTAACCCGGGAGAAGGTGTGAGGTACTCCCGGATTCCGTGATTATAGCACGGTCGTTTAACAATTAATACTTGGCCTAATTATCTGATTCATTGCATGTTTAAAACCTATTGTGCATTTTTACCTTTTGATCACTTTTAATTATTTGTTTAGCCGCTTTTAGTATTTATGGAATTTATTTGAACAAGCTACGATGTCGTACACTTGTCGTTTTGGTACACATTGCAAACCGCGCCACGTGAAACGCACCCGCATTTTACAACATGTTTATTTTTATCATTATTTGAAGTTATGGTCAAGTCGCGTGAAACGCACACTTGAATTGGGGTTTACATATCATGACTAAGCCACGGGAACCGTACCCACAGTCACGATGATTTATTATTAATCGCGCCTAAAGCAAGCTACGATGTTCGAATATTATTCAATTACTAATTTTGAGATTATTATAAGGTCATGAGGTATGGATATTGTTGTGGAGGAAATAAAGTAACTTAATTATGGAAAAATTGGCTAGCTTATGTCTGTTTATTTGTTTTTGGTCCTGGGCAACAATTAGTCCATAAATACGCCGGAAAAGTCCAATTAAAGTCTTACACCAATCATGGCCCAACCTAATCTCTTATAATTTTACTGCTAATCAATATTTGAAACTAGACTAAATTTATGGTAGGAATAGATAGATATGGGCAAAAGTAATTTAGTCACTAAAATAGGAGATCAAAATGAAACTAAAGCATGCTAAAATGGAAAGTCATTGCTTCATTGAATAAACAAGAAAAGTAATAAATTACTACATATCCATCAATAAGATTAACCATATGAACTACTAAAAAAGACAATAAATTAATCTTAACAAATACTCAACATGAGAGCAAATTAATCTTAGCACACTCGGATGCAAACTCGACCATATCATACTCAAGGTTAAATTAAAACAGAGTAACCCAGAACATTAATGGAAAAAAAAAATAGAAAGAGAAGTGAACCTTTGTATTAATGATTGTGGATTTAAATTACAACCACTCAATGATCAGATAGCTCTCAACTGGACCCTTCGGACCGCGGAAAACTCGAGCGAAAAATCTCAACTTGCAACCTCAATCGACCTTGCAAAACCGACGATTTAGAGGCTATATTTGGAGCTTTTATTTTGGGTTAATGATGGCTCAAAAGTGGTCAAGGGCTGGTGGCTTTAGGGTGGTGAAACTGGTGATTTTGTTTCGAAAGAATGACATGAATAGAATTTTTCTTAGCGTAGAAAAAGCAAAAATATTTTTTCTCCAAATCCCTCCCCTCTCTTTTTTCTTTTTCTCTCATATTTTTTCCTCACATTTCTCTTCTATTTATAGAAAAAAATTTGGAATTTTCAGATTTTTTTATTTTATTTTTTATTTTTTTATTTTTAATTAAAAAGAATTTTCACTTCCCATTTTTCTTATTTTTTTTAAAAAAAATAATTCTCCACTTTTCTTTACTTTTATTTTTTAATTTCTTACTTTTTTTACTTTTATTATAATTAAATTCCCACTTTTATACTTTTCTTTTTTTATTTCTCACTTATTTTACTTTTATTTTTTTTTATTTTTCACTTATTTTACTTTTTAAAAAAAAATTTCAGCTACCCTTACTTTTATTTTTTAATTTCAAATTTTTTTTACTTTTCATTTTTTTAAATTTTCACATTCTTTTACTTTTATTTTTTTAATTTTTCACTTTCTTTTACTTTTTTTATTAAACAATTTTCACCTACTTTTACTTTTACTTTTAAATTTTATATTTATACTTTTCCTATTTTTAATTCCCATCCGAAATTTTGTTTTAAAAAAAAATTAATTTTTTATTTATTTTCGGTTTTTAATTTATTTTATTTAAACATAAAGATAAAAATAAAAATAATACTAATAGTAATAATTGACCCTTTAAATTATTATTAATTTTTACCCTATA